AGCGCGTGTAACGTTTCTCATCGGTGTAGTGCGCCGTGCATGATCGAATATTGCAAGTGTTGTGCGCGCGTTTGTGAGCTACGTATTTATATATATACACATTAAACAAACCACCGCGACCACCTGTTTGAATTTAACGCTAATAACAATAATAATAATAATATTTGTCACGTCTGTTCGTTCGAAACGGAACGTTTTAACGGTATGCGCACCCGTACATTGTTAACGCCGTGTTCACACCTATGCCGATGACGACCGCGAGTCATGACCAACCCCACGCGCACATCCTGCGCCGAAACGCGCAAAACCGCGCGACCCTAAAACTACCTATATTTTATGTACACACGGCGAAACAGTCGACCGTCGACCGGCGGCGTTGAATCCAGGTATATTCCTAGGGGGGGGGGGGAGGGGAGAAGAAGCGATTGCCCCTCTTGAATTTCATTCGGCCCCCCCCCCTGAAAAATACAACGACTGTCGACAAAATGTATTTATTAAACGTACAGTGCCCGTTACTCTTTCCAAATTTACATAAAAATGACCGACGAAAAAAAAAAAAAGTGAGCCCTCTCCCGGAGAAATTCGCTGAAATCCAACACCGGCGTCAACACGCATCGGGGATGGATTGTCAGTTGGCACGTTTTCGCTACGTGTGACGTACGTGTACGTTCGTTATTGGGAAAAGGTATCTCTGTGCCGTTGATAACGTAATATTATGTTTTAATCGATAATCGTATACTTTTTTTCTTTCTTTTTTTTATAACTGGGGTGGATGGGGGGAACGTAATACATTTTCCGGGAGCGCGTTTTGCACTGTACGATTTCAATTGTGCGGAGTTTCGCGATTGTGGAAAATTCGTTCACGAGAACAGCGATAATATCTCGCCGGAACCACGGCGTCGGCGGCGGCGATCACTGGAGCGTTGCGCGTTCGACCGGGTACGAAATTCTCGCGGGAGAATATTGAGCTTTCGGTATAATATACAGGGCGCGTTATCGCTAAACGGCGATCAGATATACCCGCGAACGTTTCGAGTAAATAAATAGCTGGTGTGTTTCAGCGGTTCTCAACCTCCTCACCATATCCGCGTACCATTTACATATTTTGAACACATTTTCCATTCGCCGCGATTGTTAATCAGGCGGTTTTTTTTTTTTTACTCGTCAAAAAAAAAAAAAAAAATGTATGGAGTTTTTTATTATAGTTTCCGCATAATTATATAATCATTTAATCCACAAGAGCACAGCGATTGTTTTTTATCATTGTTTATGGATTACATGGACATTAAATAACCAACAACGTTTGTTATTCACTTGTCGAAAAAATGTCTCCGCGTACCATTATAGAGTGGTACGCGCACCGCCGGTTTCGAGAACCGCTGGCATGTTCGGTTAATTCTCGCGGGCCGTCCAAACGGTTTCGCGATATTGCGGGAACGGGCGTTCGGAAACCCGACGGGTTCGCGTTTAGTGGCCGCCCGGGCGGTGGGGGGGGGACACGTTCGCGGGTCGAAGATCGTGAGAAATATCGTCCGACATTCTCGACGGTAGAACAACCGCCCTGTATAACCGCCACCGAACATACACTGTGAGCGGCGGACGTCACAAACGCGACATCGTTGTCGCACACACAAACGGAGCGCCCCCGAGGCGCCGTTTCAGCTGGCGCCAAAACGTCCTGGCGCCCAGACACACACCGACCGCCGTGTGTACGACGGAAGGCGGCGGCGGCGGCGGCGGCGGCCTTACCGATTTTATTCATATTTCCCCCTCGCGATACATACTTACGTGGGTACCTACGCCCCGGAGGAATCGATTATTGTTACAATACAACAACAACAATAATATATCCGTGCGGCGAGGAGGGGAACGATATCTGCGTGTTATAGTTTATGTAATTATAATTATTGCTGTAAGCGAAAAAAACAATTAAATACACTGCTGCGCAACCGGTCGAGTTGTGTTCGCCATTACCGATCGGATCGGAAAGTCGACAGAACCGACGGTCGGAAAACGTCCGTATCGACGAACATAACCGTGCGCACGGTGGGCACACGCCCGTCGCCACGGCGGCCGAGATTAAATAACTAAAAACGATTTTGCGAAAAACCGTTGCAAACAATGTGACGAGCGGTTCGGGTCGTTTCAATTTCCACGTAGTCTCACCGACGGGCACAGCATTCAAGTTAGACTAGGCGAACCCGTGCCCGAACTACGTACCTTCGGTGCGTGCCGAACACGATCAGTAGGTAACCCGTTATACGGTTATTCACAATCACGCGTACATCATTACACGTACACGAGTATCAAAAGTATACGATACGTTTTGAAAATATCGAGCGTGAAATTTTTTTTCATCGAAAATTTAATCGCCACCTCGTAAATACAAGGCCGGAAATTTCATGAGAGCTTTTTTTTTTTTTTTTTTTGACGTTTCGTGTAAAAATCACTTTTTGAAATAACTAGCAGATTTACTAGATGCACTAACTTTCGAAAACGATGACAGCAGTGACGGACATAATAGTTAATACATTTCTATTTTATATATTTAAATAATTTCGGCTACCGTTTTTGCATTAATCAGAACATTGTGCTTCAACAGAATCAGCTCTTTTTTTGGGTTTATTTGTTTATACATAGGCAGGTTAGGTTAGGGTAGGCATACTTTCGTTTATGTAAAAGACGTCCGCATAATCTACCTCGCTCTTTTCTGATACGATTCGCCGACAATCACGGCAAATCTCGGCAGATACATTCCCTCGGACATCATACAAGAGTTTGTTGCCAGCTGCCGATTTTTGACTTCAGACTCTGTCCGTTCCTTTTTTCCACGTCGCGAAGCCACAGAAGTTTGAATTCATTACATTTTCAACTGTGACACGGGAGTCTCGTTGATTTGAGTCTAGTCTTTTAAATCTAATCCAGCCGAGTACAATATTCTATAGGTACATACCGGTATAACATTATAGATTTTTGAATATCGGTACGGTCTATAGAATTTGTAACAAACGTAAATAAAAATCCGGAATAATAATGTCATCTATTCTACTCGAAATTTAATTTTCAGCTGGGGGTCCTGAAATATCTACAATGTTTGTTATACATAGTTTTAAATAAATCTCCATTCGTTAACCCAGCCATATTTAAATATACGAGTCAAAACAAATAAATAAATAAATAATAATTGCAATAAAATCAACAAAAATTATAAATGCATAGGTAAAACATAGCAGATAGGCAGGTGGTATACCTGCAATTAACAATAAATGTGTCCAATTTATGATCAATAATAATAGTAATAATAACTAGTTCATACATTTTGCAATGGTTCAAATTTGACATGTTGTAATTTTTTTTCAGTAGCTCTCACATTGTGCAGTTTGTCTTGCAATTTTTTTTTTTGAACTATCATGCGTATCACATGTTTGACATCTAACGTACATCCTATAGGTGTATTTTATTTTTTTCATCTAGTTAACCTTGGTCGTTGAGGATCAAACCAATATTCCGAATTTATTAATGACAATTGATACCGAGGTGCCTACTTACATTTTCTTTACAGTTAACCGACATCAGTGATGGCTTTTTTACCAGTTTCCCGGTAGGCTTATCCGTTTATGTCCACTGTAACTGTTTAAGAAATGTCTTACCAGACAATTATTCTTCTTGACATTAATTAGGGTACTAAATATGTATTAAGGCTATATTTTTAATAAACCAAAATATGTTTACCAATGCAAATATAAACAATGTTTGTATAATTACAATTTATGGATAGATTTTTTTTGAGTATTGTACGAAATATTAAAATATACAAACAAAAAAAAAAAAAAAAGATTTAAAAGGAATAATAAACTTGTTAAAACGAAAATGAAAACAAATTAAATCATTAAAAATTTAAAAAAAATTACTTTTACTTACGTATTATGCGTTTCCAAACGATTCTTCAGACAATTTAATATATTCTAACACAAATATTAAAAATATCATCAATTTCGTATAATAAATTATTCTATACCTATACCTGTATGAAAATATATTTGTGTGGCCAATACCAATGGTGTGTCAGTAAGTGTATAGTCATTCAAATTAGAGACCATTTAAGTTAATTATCATTATGTCTTATTGTTTAGTGTGCCAAGTGGGGATTTTGTGATAAACTTATATATATATATTATCATTTAACATTTAAAAGTTACCTTGATAAAATATACAAACATTTTCTCAACACTAAGCTCGGGCTACAATCTAAATAAAAAATACACTAGTAAAAATCAGTAAAGATATTTCACAACAAAAATAATATTGCTCCTCATTAGCTAACAATGTATTTTATGCTTTTTTCGAAATAAACGTGCCATTTTCAATAATAATACAATTATATATTGAAAATGAGTTGCATTCAGTGCCAGTCGAACATGAAAAAATATTTAAAAAATAGTTCACAACTTTTAAATGATTGATTTAATATTTTTTATTTATATATAATAAATTAATAAAGTTAACAATAAATAATTATAACTAATATCAACTTATTCGTTACCATAGTTAATAGTAGGTATACACAAGATCATAAAATGTACCAATAACAACAATACAATAAAGATAATTGATTTTATATAACCTTTAATTAGCAAATAGATAAAAATTATGTTTTAAATTTATATATATATATATATTTTATACGTATATGTATGCATTACAATATAAAAATAAAGATAGTAAATTATAGAATATCAAAATATAATAATAATAATAATAATAATAATAATAAATAAATAATAGGTATATTATTTGAAAAAATATTAATATTTTTTTATGGGGGACAAATGATGTACTCTTAAAATTATGATAAACATTTAAGAAATAAATCAAGTGGAATAAAGAATGTTAAATTAAGAATCAGTGTATGCTTCTAAAATACTTCCAGCAAATTGTAAAATGTGAACAGGTTCTCTGCGTTTATTAGAATCCAAATTACATTGCTCATTCGATTTGGGTCAGGCTATAGCTTTGGCTTCTGGGATAAATGCTTGCCAGTGTTTTATTATCTAAAGAAAACAAAATTTAACAAAAAAGGACATTTCACGCATTATAACATTAATGGATATTGAGTTATGACTTCTCTTATGGAAGAAATAATCAAATTAAACTATACAAATATGGTTGAGATATTGATAAACCAAAACCTTTAAGTTTCACATTGAAATTATCGTATTTAATTATATGTTGTTATTAACCATTACCTGAGTCTGATGATTTATCATTTCTTCAAGGTACGAAGAAATAACAGTTTTAAATTCTTTTATTCGGTTTATTTCAAACTGTTCGAATTCTACTTTAATAGTTTTTGAAATCTGATCAAATTCATCTTGACTTCTGGATAATTTGGCCTCCCACTAGAAAAAACCAATTGTTTACTAATTGTGTAATACAAATGTAATAAATGTCAAACTCTGGTATTTTATAGGTACTTTACCTCAGAAACTTCATTTGTAACTGTGCCTACTTTATCTAAACGCCCAGTGAGTTCAAGTTTAGATTTTTGTTCCCGTTTTTTAGTTAGTATCATTTGAGCATGTTGCATATTTTGATAGACTTTTACTCTTTCATGAAAAACATTCTAAAATAATGCAAAAACATTTAATCAAATAAATTAATACAATTAATTTATAAAAATTACGTACTTTTACAGCACCTATGAGCCCAATGTAATCTTTTAATAGTTCACAAAAAATCGAAAAATCTGTATTTGCTTGTTCAGTTCTTACCAACTCGACCTACAACATATAATACTATTTAAAAATGAACACTATAATTGTAATGGTGTTTTTCTATCATTAATAAGTTGAAGTATATTATTACTTTTTGTAATAAACAAAAACAACATATTTTAATTTTAAATAATAAAACAAACCATTAAGGTTAACAGCTTTAATATTCCAATTAAACACTATTGGAGTACTTATCCTATTAAAAATAAATAAAAAAACCTTTAAAACAAATAGCATTTATGTTATATTAATTAACCTTCTCAAATACATCTGCCAGTTGAGATAAAGCGCGGGACAATCCAGTATGTTCTTCACAATTACTCAATACGGCTGCAGATTTGGCAAATGATCCACTAGAATGTGCCAATTCCTTACGATTAATCACTAACGATTCAACAGCACCATGTAAATTGCGGAGTTGCAGGTCTAAATTTTCTATTTGAACTTCTTTTTCTTCAAACCACTAAATATTTTATGATAATAATAAATAATAATAATACAAAAAAAAAAAAAAAATATATATATATATATATGTTTAATTTACAGGTTCGTTTTCATCCATTTTATAAGTAATCTTGTTAACAGTTTCTCCGACTTTATTAAAAAGCCTCATAACACCAGCACCACTTAATGCTGAGGTACTGGTTGCTTTTGGAAGTTCACAATCTATAAAAAATGAATATAATCAATCAATGACCAATATTAATATATTAACAGTAAAAGTACCCTGTTCTAGAAATTCACAAAAATGTTTATCATTACGAAGAATCGGATGTAAAGCAATTCTTTTTAAGAATCTTTCTAAAGCCAAACGTCTTTTCTCAATAAATTCAGCTGATGTTGCCTGATCAGATTGGTTTCCAGATATTTTGATTCTAGTAGAACCTTTATACAATTAAAATATTATCAATTAAATTGTATTTCACTGCTTATTGCTTGTCTAGCTTACCTAACATATTTTTTTGAGGAGCTGGTGGTATAAGACGCCCATTTCTCAAATATTTTTCAGTTAGCTTATTGTGTAATCCTAGGAAGTCACTAAATCTTCTAAGTACTGCCATGTTATTTGTTTTAAACATGGGCATGTTTGTACGGGTAACAATTCTGTATGCAACATAGGAGCTCATGCCTTCTCCAACTTTTGTACTTTCAGATATAGATATTTTTATAAAATTATTGTTTTGTTCAATATTTTCTATAATCTTATCTTTAATGGTTACGTGTGGTACATCTACTAATTTATTAATTTCATCAGCATTTGAAGAAGTATCGTTTTCTTTTAAATCAATTTCTTCTTCAAACCCATTAGAAATTAGTTTTTTTTTAGGCAACTGTTCCTTTAACAATAATAAAAATTAATAAATCAATAATATTTTTGACTAGTTTAGTCATAATTTCAACATCATAAAATAAATAAATTCTATATAATGCATATTTGGTCTTATAACATCCAAATTTGGGAAGCCACCCAACCATATTAAACTTACAAAAAAATATAATAATTCTAGTCTATATAAATAATTTATTGATTAAATCAGTGTTAGAAAATAATATAGTATATAGTATTAGAATACAGTAACTTATAAAACATGTATTATACATGCATATAAGTTTTTATATTTTTTTATTATAGATCTACTAAACAGTAGCCATCGGATATAATTTGTGATATTAATTTTTAATAAGTCTATTAAATTATGATTATATAGTTTAAAAGTTTATTTTTACTGGTTTAATTTCACCAAGATAAATGTGATTTGTAATAATACAATTTATGTTTTAGCCTTGATGTGTAGCTGAGGTAGTATTGTTTTTATAATGAAGTGTTTTTATTTAAGTATTTCCTAATTGAACTGAAATATATGTAAACAGTAAATACTTTAATATTAATACAGAATTGAATACAATATTAGATACACATTAAATTAAAAAAAACCTATAAATAAAGTTCATGGATATTTGTTAAAATCAATATAGTAAATATTAATAATATATTTCATAAAAAAATCGTGTTCATGTTTTATATATGGTATATTATATGGGACATGTAGAAAATATATTAAATACGTACAATTATCAACCCAATCATCAAAATGATACAGATTATTTTGAATAAACTACAAAGCTAATTGTCTAAAAATTTAACTTTATTTGGTATAAAAGAAATCCATTAACAAATAATTATTTAAATTATTGAATAATAGAATAATTAAGTAAAAACAAAATTACTAAAATGGTTATTACACGTAAATAAATAAAAAAAAATTAATATATAAATAAATAATGTATATATAACATTGTTTTATTTATATACTTATTTACTTTATTTAAATTGTTGGTTTTAGTACCACCAATGGGTGGTCTCTCTTCAACGACCATATTAATAAACTTCTCACCAGAGATATCACCATAATACATATAAAAAAAAAATGTATTGGCCAAATTAAAGTACTGTTTTTAACCAAATAAATACAATTTATATTATTAATTACCCTAACTTCTTAATTAGAAGTTAAATTGGTCAAAACAAATGTATCTGTATATATGGAAAAATGGTTAAATGTTTAAAAATAATTAATATTCTATTTAACTACACTCATCTAAATGTTTTAAGAGTATTTAGGCTGAAAATAAATTTAGATACCTGTAGTGTAGTGTACAGCATAGGTAATATGTATTTATGATAATGATACAATTTAATAATTTGCAAACATTAAATATATTTGTATAAAAACCATAAATACCAGTAAAAATATAAAATTTTATTTTTTATTTTACTTGAAAATGCATGTTAATTATCTTCATAACAAAGGCGTTAATTTAACCCATCCCGCGAAGTAAAAGTAATCTCCCAATTTATTTTTAAATGAAAGTTCATGTAGTTATCAGAACAGGTTCGTGATTATTAATAGCTTATCGAAATATTATTACAACCAAGGTGAATTAATCCACCTTAGACCTTGTACAATGGATAGAGCTATTGGCAATCAACGTGTCGCCAACATATCAAGAGGGCAACCCGATTTTGCGTATGCGCGAAGTACTGTTATCAGTTTTATCACAGAATTATTTTCCGAACATCCAATATAGGTTATAATGGCATTATGAAGAGGGCGACGCATGCGCAGTAGCTACATACCTATGTTGGCGACATAGTCGTTTCATATGAGGTACGTCCGTAGCTCCATCTGTTGTATATGATCTAAGATTATAACACAATGATCACTATTAGCATTCCAAAAACTACTTTAGTATGAATTGTGCACATGCATGAAAAATAAGTACCCGCTGTACGAGGAAATATTTACCCCATACAACTAAACTTATTTCGAACATTTTTTTAAAATTTTATTATTAATGTTATGATAAAAATAAATGATTTATGAAAATGTTAATCCAACAACAAAAAAAATGTACGCAACCAGTTATGCTAGCTAATCATTACCTATCAAAAGTATTTACATGTTAATAGCAAAGTGTTTATATAATTGCATACATAAAGTAGATGGTATCAGTTAAACAAATATTTAACTAACAGTGTCTAATGATAAACCCTTATGAAAATATTTTTTTCCTTAATCATTTATATTGTAGGGGGAATAAACTCGGAACGTAATGTTTAGAAATGTAAAGTACTCGAAGGAATAAACCGGAATGTAATAATTAGAACTGCAATTTCACAGACTGCAACATTAGTAATTGTGTCTAAAATATAGAACTAGTAGTATCAGTCTATAGCTGAGTATTTTTATTTTTTTTTGCCAAAGATAATCTTGTATGAAATGAAAGAACAAAAAGGATTGGTGGAAAAGCTTTGATTTAGGGCCAGGTGAAGGGAAAAGGCTGACTGGATAAGAACAGCTATTGGCGATATTTTAGTGAAAAGACTTAGTTAGAAATTTAAAGAATACTTAGAAATCATGGGTTTTTACTTAATTCAAGAATATTACATTCTGGACTGTTGTTTACAGTGATTATTTAATTTTACACCAATGTATAATTAATCAGTTCAATGTTAATAATTATGGATAGCATTGGAAAAATTAATGCATTTTTTTGTTTTTATCAACATTGTAACATGACAATCATGAAGTTATGCAAGTTTTTTTTTTAATGCAATTTTAAATCACAAAAAGTATGCCTTAATTTATCTGAATATAATATACAAATTTATTTATAGATAAGATTACAACTTGGCATTATCCGGTGTTGTTCAGGTTAGGCCAGTGTTTTCCAAATTAGGTATATTCTAGATCATTGGATATTTTTGATGGTGTTGATCATAATTCAATTTAAGAAAAAAGTTATAATTTTTTCTAAAATTCTTTATAATTATTATAAAATGTACATTATTTCATGGCATAATTTTTTTTTTCTTGAGGAGGAACACAGCTAATGAGATTTTGCGAGTCATTTTACCAAAAAAGTTGGGAAACACTGATTGGGTTACCATAAAAAAATAAATTTTACATGTCTCACATAATATTATTTTCAGAATCATTTATAATTTATGTGTCTAATAACTACCAATATTGGTAGTAAAGTTGTTTGTGACAACTACTAAAATTGTTTTTCTTATGTTTCATCAAAGAAAATTGCAAATAAATAAAAAACAAAATGTTAAAATCTAATTTAAAAGTCTTATCACGCCTTCAATAATTGTCTGTCTAAGTTCAAAATTAAAAGATACAATTTTTAAAAAAAGAGCGACATATTTTTCAAGATAGGTGGGCCACTGTGTAGGTGAGAAGTTGGAAAGGTAGGATATATCAGGGAATTTAATGTATAATTGTAGTCTGTATGCAACAATTAATCATTATTAAAGAAAAAGGAGACTAAATGAAGTTCAAATTTTCATTTTATAAAGGGCTACAATTTATGATTTTTTTCATCATTGTAAAACCAATACAATCTTCGCTTCGCCCAAAATCTAAAATTATTGTTGGTCAGCAAAATAATTAATATTTTTTAATGAAACAGGATATAATATTAATAGAAATTTGTAGTTTTTACTCAATAATTACCAGATTATATTCACTTCAGTAATATAATAAATTATTTATTGAGTTATTAAATGAAAAATAGGTTTTGTCATTATCTAAACTATTTTAATAGACATATAAGTAATTGATATTAATATCAATGCAAATTGTTGATAGTAAAATTTGTAATATGAGTAAAGCGATGTGTAATATAATAACTAGCTAGATATATAAAATAATTTTACTGTATATTTATAATATTGGAATTTGATGATGTATTTTAAATAAATAATTACTATTTATTTGTTAAAACATTGATAAATAATATTTAAACAGGCAGTTTCATACATTCCTACATATTAAAATGAAATAAACAAATAACCATTATTAAAATAGATACCAGTATTATTTTTATAATATACGAATATATGAAATAAATGATATCTAAGAAATATCTAAGTATATGAAATGTATATTATCATTTTCAACAGTCAGTTTTTAAAATAAAATGTATGACAAATAAATTGTTTTAAATGTATTTGAAGGGGAGAGCAGTTTTAATTAATTGACTAGAGTTGTCCCCTAATTCATTTAAACTATACGTGTTTATTAAATGCAATTGCTTAGAACGACACATATTATGATATCAAACCTACCTCTTTGGGTTTATTTAATGGCACGTCAGAATCAACAACTGCATGTTCTTCATTCAAATTGATGTTGGTTAACGGTGGTGGAACTGTCGACACCGAACTATATAACTCTTCATTCCGCAGACTGCTAAGATCCTATGGTATTTAATCATTATTATATGCAAAAATACAAACAATGGTTTACCTCGTTGTAAATACACTATTGTTGTAATTTAAAAACAACGCCCCTTTTTCGTACACGTTTTAAAATTATTCGCAAACTTACATCTATTGTCGAACTAAAAATATCGTCATCTTCGTCATCGACCGGTTCTTCTGTAGACATCATTGGGGGTAATTTTTCAGACATTGCGTATATAGGACAAATTACTCGGGTCTGTATGACGACTATTATGTTTCAGTTAATCGAAAAATGTTATTTATCGAAAACAATGGTCGGACGACGAGACTGTACGGACAGATAATTCCTATTCTACTGTACGTTGCCACTTGCCAGTTGGTTTACTTTACATTTAACAATAATATCACGTCTGCAAATGCCAAATTGTTCCTCAGTGATAACGCTTGAACGTCAGAAGAGATAACACGAACGCCCACACTAAATGTACTACACGTTGGTCACACTGTTGAGTATATTGCTCCCACTCCGGTTTCGGTAATAATTATGACCCTTCTCAAAACTACATAACCAAACTATCCCAACTACCAACTACTAAGTACCAAAGACACAAACCTACTCATTTCATATCCGTTCCTTCTCTGGATGCGTGCAATCGGACGTTACAATTTTCATTTTTGTGTAAGTATGTCCATTTTCTATTTTATTAATTTATAAATCCATGTTGCCATGTTGGGTTTTCGATGAAACAATTGAAGAATAATCCGTCTGTCGATTATTTCAAGACCTGCACCATTTTTGTGTCGTATTTCGTACGATGGAAATGGATGAAATTTCGGCGGTCGTCGGTAGACGTGTCCACCAGTTTAGTATTTTTCGTATTCTAACGTTATTCAGACTTCCGAGTATCAATTCTTCGCAAAATATTTCCCTTGCCGCTTTTCAAAGCACTCCGTTTCAACTTGATGGTGTTGTGCTAGGTGTTATGGTCTGTATTCGGTTGGATATTGTCTTTCAATTTAATCCTGTAAATAATTATTTTGTCGATGCGTATGTGTATATACATCTTACAGTTTGATGACTTAGGTATTCACTAAAAATAATTTCTTCTACTTGCTATTTGTACCACGTGTGTTCTTGACGTTCTTGTAGGTATTTTGTTTTATAATTTGTCATGTGTTTTTTTTTCGTAATTACTTTTTTATTTATTTTGAATTTTGTTATTATTTTAGTTCCAGGTAATACTTCAAAATGGTTAACGGACGTATCCCGTCCGTCTACAGTAAGACGTACGTGACTCCCCGTCGTCCGTATGAAAAGGCACGTTTAGATCAGGAGTTAAAAATCATAGGCGAATACGGTTTGAGGAACAAACGTGAAGTATGGCGTGTGAAATACACTTTGGCCAAGATCCGTAAAGCCGCTCGTGAATTGTTGACCCTCGAAGAGAAGGATCAAAAACGTCTTTTTGAAGGTTTGTTTATTAATATTTTTTGTTTTCCTATATTTACAAAATACTATACCACAATGATGAAATTAATTATTTTATCTGACACCTCTCATCTGAAATTTCCGATAGTGTTGTAAATTTTAAATTTTCTGAGTGTATTTATATTTTGTATAGTTATAAATATTAGCTTTTACTTAATTACTAATATTCTAGTTGATTATTCTATGCAATTATTGTTTTTTTTCTCTAGGTAATGCGTTGTTGCGTAGATTAGTTCGTATTGGTGTATTAGATGAAGGACGTATGAAGCTTGATTACGTTTTGGGATTGAAAATTGAAGATTTCTTGGAACGCAGATTACAAACTCAGGTAATGTATGATTAAGATTGGTACAATTTTTGTATTCACTATATACCTACATAACTGATACATAAAATGATGAATTTATAATTATTTTCTGACACCTCTTCTGAAACATAATTTTGTTGATAATTAAATATCTGAAAGTTTGTCATCAGTTTGTCTGGGTTGATACTTTATTGTATTAATGTTCGTAAAACCATCTTGTAAGTTAATATAAAAAATATTTAATTTTTTTTTTTTTTTTAGGTATTCAAATTGGGATTGGCCAAATCAATTCATCATGCGCGAGTTTTAATTCGTCAAAGACACATTCGGTATGAGTGTAAATTAATATTAATTGAATTAAATAATTCAGTTTTATAATATGAGAATGCCAATTGTTTTGGGCAAGGATACTGGATAATATTTACCAAGCTGTTCCTAATCACAATTTGGCTATATTATTTTAGAGCATTGAGTTAATCCAAGATCAAATAAATGTTTTTTGATCTTTTTCATGGCAATGCTATATTAATTTTTAAAGATTTAAAATCAATTTTCTATAAATATTACAATAAATTTAGTGTTCGTATGTGCCTATTATTCTTGGGCAAGGATGTTCTTAAATTTGTATGAACAAGTCCTAATCGTAATAAGGCTATATTATTTAGACTTTGGTTAATCAAAGGTCGGAATGAAATATCTTCTGTCTTTTTCATGGCAAAGCTACATTATTGTTACTTTATATTTATACAAATTCAACTACCCGATAAATGATAAATAACCATGCCTATTATTCTTGGGCAAGGATGTTCCTAAATTTGTATGAACAAGTCCTAATCGTAATAAGGCTATATTAATAGGCTTTGGTTAATCAAAGGTCAGAATGTATATCTTCTGTTTTTTTCATGACAAAGCGACATAATTTACAATACATAAGGTTAAACTAGTATACTGGGTTGATTATTAACTAACTATGTATATGTGGCTTTTCTTAATTAGATGAAAAATGTGCTGTCCCTTGATATCAGCATAGAGTACAATTTTATTTTTAAACAGGCCACTTAAAATGTTCATTATTTATAATGTCATTTTAACGTCTGATTCACAACTCCTTGTGAGATTGTGTTATTGATCCCTATATTGCATTCTTAAGACCGAAAAATAATACTACATATAATAATGGTATGCAAGTGTATTTATATTATGCTATAAAAGGATTATATTTTGTTTTTTGGAGAATTTTGGTTTGTTTATTATTTTATTGATTTTTATATATAGCGTACGTAAACAAGTAGTGAATGTACCATCTTTCATTGTTCGTCTGGATTCCCAGAAACATATTGACTTCTCCTTGAAATCACCATTCGGTGGTGGCCGTCCTGGACGTGTAAAGAGGAAGAACTTAAGGAAAGCCAAGAACGCCAAGGATGATGGCAACGCTGGTGAAGAAGAAGAAGATTAAACTATTTTTCTTATTATTTCTGTGTATTGTTTATTTATGTAATATAATACACTGATTTTTACAAAACACAATTTTTATTTTTTTTAATTTTTCCGTAGTACTATTTGTGCAGTACTGATATTAGATTTTCATTAAATATTAGTATTATTGATTTATTCCCTTGATAATTAGCTAGCATAATTTATTATGCTAATTATGCTAAATTATTAATTTATTTATATGTCAATTATTCATTCTTAATATTAAAAATTGGAGCACAATTTGGTTCAAATGAAATCTATAATTAATTTTAAGGATTTCTTTATTTCTTTTTAACCTGTCATGAGTCATCATTATTTGTAACAAGGTCTTTTTGACTGTTTACTTTTATCTTGTATTTTTTTAAACATACAAATGCATTTATTAATGATTTACAAAAACTATACTTCATTTATTTACTATATTTTACCATAAAAGTTGGTATTGATGGAACTATTATACTAAAACTTTAAGCGAAATTAATTATTAAAAATATTGACTGTGATTAACATGATTCATATAAAACTAAAGAAAATATTGTAACCTTAGATAAATTATTTGAAGAAATTAAAGATCAGTGACTGGATAATTGTTAGTGTTGGTTTTTTCATTCAAAATTTGATGCTAATGAAAATATATAACTATTGATACAAGTTTAGTTTCACACGTTTTTTTTGACAGGTTAGATATTTTAAAAATTCTATAAATTCAATAAACAATAATTAAATGTTCTAAATAGTTATAAAAAATAACATGTACATTAAAGATATCAAATTGCACGAAAGTAAATTACTCTCAATGAAAAATTATTAAATAATAAACATTCGGTCGAAAAAACCATGATGTGACTCATGGTGGATTAATCTTGCAATAATAACATTAAGTTTGCACCTAAAACATTTTTCCTCTTAATTTTTGCATAGAAGTTGTTTCAGTAATACAGCAGTACTATATTCATCTGTATCTGATCAAATAGTTTTATTGAATGATAATGAAATAAAGAAATGTCAACATTTTTGTCTATTTCAAATCAATATGTTAAAATGTGATTTCAAAAATAGTTATACACAATATTCTATAACAAAATAATAATATAATTACAAGGGTAAAAATTGAAATATAAGCGCAACTATAAAATTTGATCATCACGCAGTTAAAAAACAATAATAATTTGTAATACTTTTTTAGTATGACGGAATTGTTTTAAAATTAATTTAAGGGAATACATAATAAAAAAAAAATTTAAATAACAATAAGAATACAAAAAATAAAACATTAATTTAACAAAGGAAAACAAATTATGGAAACAATAATTTTCAAAAATAAATATTTATGAAGTAATAATTAAGCACCATGTTGAATGGACTTGTACATTAAAATAAAAAAAATCAAAAGCCTTTAGTAATAAAATTAGTTGACAGTGCCATCTTTAATTTCAGTTAGTAGATCAAACCAACCTGTGTAATTGGGGGTGTTAATGTTGACGTAGTCACTTAAGTTCAATATTACTTGACCCAAAACAGGACTGTGCCATGTCTTCTTTGTTAATACTGTGACCTCCAATTGCTTACTGTTTAATTCTGCCAAGCTCATAATGTACTCGAAAGTTTCTTCATATACTGGGTTACAATTATCTTTGTAAGTCTACAAATAACAAAAATAAAAAATATAAATTCACAACATTTCCTTAGTTTTTAGTAAGTCCTTACTTCGGTTTTACGTTTGGTATTGCTATTCTCTTTTTTAGGTAACACATACAGTTTGACATATGGATCGGGTATGTCTGAAGCTTGTTTAATTGGTATGTTTCTAAAAATAATGCATAATGTTAGGAATAGGATGGTAAATTTTTAACATAATGAGTTATTTTAATTTTATTATAAACCATTTTTGTCAAAATTTAAATTGAATAATAAATTCAATATTGAAACTTTAATTTGATTCCCTTTACTTTCTAGATAAATTGTTTTGTTAGAAAATCTGTTTTTTTTTTTTAATATATATATAAATATAAAAAATCAATAATCTATATTCAAGATATTATACTTGAGATTTAACCGAATTTTTAAAATTAAATGTGATGTATATTTTATTATCTTACACGACTTTGTGAATGGTGACATTGAGACGTTGCCTAGACACACTGAATGCCAAGGTCAATTGAATGCTACCTAAAGGTCCAGTGCCAGGAGCTGGTTCTGGTCTGTTTAAAAAAAAAAATTTGGTAAAAACCAATAAATATACATTTTAACGAACAATTCTCTCACAGATCAGACAGTAATTCAGTTAGTTCAGTTTGCTCGATAAGAGGTTCTTGATCATTAATGCCACCACCGGCAGAACTATGCGAAATCATTGAATCCCTTTTAATTGATTTGACTGACGGTGTCCTACTCATACTGTTGTCGGTAGGTGTTTTAACACCAGCAACAGACGATTGAACATCATCAGACACCTCAGTTGCTGTTAATGTACTATTAACCGACTTGTTAGATTGTACGGAAGCTTGCCTTGACAATGGTTTGACTGCAGTGTTTGCACTATCATTGATATCTATCAATTTGGGCATTCTTTTCAGGAACTACATAGTAAGAAAAAAAAATGTATACATTATCAATTTAATATTATAACATGAATAATATTATATACAAACACACACCTTAAGTTGCAAACAAAATACTAGTTTACTTTCATGATGTTGATTCTTACTGTCAATAATCAGATCGTAAGGTTGAGGATCCACTTGCATTTTCTCGGCAAGCATTAATGCTGATAACTCATATATATATAAGCCTAATTGAGTGCTGGTTTTTTGATCTATAACCTAAATACAAATAAATATTTTTTCAATTTATACAAAAATTATTTGATGAAAACTAAATATACTTTAAATTCAATGGTATCTGTTTCGGGGTTATTCACTAAAAATGTAAATCCTTGTTCGTAGACGGGTCGTTCAGTGCGCAATTTTCCCACAGTCATTTGAGTAACTTGACCGACTGTTACACGTACCAATGGATCGGGTTTACTTTGAGCTCGAGCATTCTATAATAATATTTAACATTAGTTAGTGTATAATAATAGAGCATTAGCATTTTATTATAAAAGTTTATGTTTACATACCGGTAAATTAATGGCTGAATCTATATACACCATTACCACAGCTGAACTCATGTTAGTTACTCGCAGTTCTTGGGTTTCGATCAAAGCCTAAACAGTAAAATATTTTTTTTTAATATAAAAAATAGTATGTTATCAATAAAGTGTTTCATTTAGAATGCCAAATTTAATCTTGTTATAACTTTATTGTAACTAATTGTTTTGAACAATAAAATTATGTAAATAATAGTATACATTTTTCGATTTATAGATGAAATATAATATTTGACATATGTTCTCCTTGGTTATGCTAGTAAGCATAGTTTCTGATCACTAATTTGGTAACTACTCGTTGTCACATCTCTTCAATGAATTCAAAGAATTTCTTTTGTGATTCGTAGTTTATTTCTATAAATATGAACTTAAACATATCTCCGCAGAAAGATGTCTAGTGGACACAATCCGGGAGACTAGTTCTGGTCGCCACTTAGTGAAAGAAATCAGCCCTTAAATTTTATAGCGAAACATGATTGTTGCATGAGCAGTATGGTAAGTGGCACCATCATGCTGGAACCATGTATACTCAAGGTCAATATCATGTAAAGCGCGCCATAAGAACATTGTAACCATATCTCAGTTGGTCGCATCATTAGAGAACTTGAAACGAATGTGTCAAAGAACAATAGCAAATTTTGTTACTAGAACTGGATTTCCAGTGTAATGATAACCATATTAAGTCCAATGTTATATTCTTTACAAAAATTAGAGAATATATCTATACTACTTGTTTAAATAACTTTTTTTTAAAAATAATTTTAGATTCTGAACTTAGTGAAGAATGTATTGGTTTCACAAAGATTACGTGGTAAGAGAGGTCATTTTTTGAAATTCTCATTAATATTCGAGATAATGAGAAAAACCTGGTTCTTTAGGTTAAAAAAAAGTTGTCATTGGCAACAGTATTTATTTTTTACAGTATTTTATTTTTTGTTACTATTAAGTTTTTATTATTTTAATATTTTTTAAACAATCATTGTTGTCATGGAAACACACATTGTCATAATCATTTTACTATAATATGATATGTATATTGTTGATAAAGCAACACTATCAATTGAACTCTGCTCAGAATCGTTTTCTCGTTAGCAATGATTTATTGTTGCTTACAGGTATAAATTAAATTATTGTCTGTATCCTACTTTCCCACTTTCCACTTACAACAGTGGCTGCACCCATGCACAAAGTATGTCCGTCCTTTTTTATAATAAAGTTATAACAAAATAAAACTCAGCGTTCTTAATGAAATATTCTTTAGAAATTTAAAATTTCATTATTACCATTTTTAATGCATTTTTATCCAATGTCGGTTCTAACCAAAGCATGCGAACTTGGATCATTCCGTGTTTGGTATCTTCCAAGTTAATCCACTAAAGTATGTTTTTAAGAAATATAATATATTACTCAAGACTTATAGTTATTAAAATTATTTTATATTTACATACCTTGTCAAAATCTCCATTTCTGACTACACTGTTAATTTGTAATGTAGCTCTACAGGATAGAGAATTGTCATGAAAATATGTACAAATATATTTTGATACTGTTTACTCACCTTCCTAAATTTGAATGTTTTTTACCAACCATTTCGTCTTCATCATAAAGCTTGAGCTTTAACACTTGACCTCTAGGTGAGAAAGATGCAAACTATAATTACAGAAAAAATAATTATAAAGATCAAAGTAAAAATGCTATATATGAATCAAACAAAAAATTTAAATATATTATATTACCTCACACCAATAATCCCACTTAGGATTCAGTTCGTTATTTATAGTGGGTGTTTTATATTGTTGTGCACCCAGTGTGATAGTGACATACGGATCTGATTTTCCTTTTCTTATCAAGCTCATGTCTTTGGCCACTAAATTCTTTGCCTGAACAATATGTACACGTAGGACACCCTAAAACAATATTAGGTATACAATTATTGAAAATATGAGTGATTTTTTTATTGGTAGAGTAAGATTTTTAAAATACTTTTGTAATTTTTCTGAAAATATTGTATGTGTTTACTTAATACTGTATTTTTTTAAACCTTTATCTTCTTTTTATTTTGCATCTATTTTTTTTCTATCAAATTGGGTTCATTATAACAAAAAAAAAATATTATGTCCATTAGTTATGATAAAATATTTTCATTTATTCACCATTGAAAGACCTTCCCGTGGGAATTTTTGTATATTAAACGCCTATTATGTGTATTTAATATTTATCAATATTGACCAACATTAATTGTACTAATGGATAATTCAAAACAAATACTGTTTTTTTTGCTTTAAATAACCATTTGTCATCAGTATTTACAGTTGATAAAAAATTTAAATTATAGGCATTTTATGTAAATGCCAAAGCAATATATTAATTATAACTGAATTATTAAGAGATTTATATGCATTTAAATTCCGTAAAAAAAGCTTGAAATCTTCAAGTCATGAAAAAATATTTAAAAAAGTAAGTGGTAGAAGGGTTTAAAATTCTTCCTTCTAACGACTCTAACCCTATTAAATAAAATTGTCCAAAATTAAAACATGATACATGCATTTTTGTGGATTTTAAATACACATAAATCCATTTCCTAATTATCAAAATATTATATTATTATAGTTACCTCTGGTTCTGGTAACTTCACAACGTGTGTGGGTACATCTTTGCTCAAGACGATGGGCAGTTTATTAGGCAAAACCATCAGAGCAGCTACTTGTTGAGAAATAACTTTTTGTAAAATATCGCTGAAACGAAAAGAAAAAATTTAAATAAACACAATATTTGAAATTATCATGTAACAAAATTACTTGAGACCGGGCATCTCTAGTACATCAGCTACACCCACCAAATTATAATCAATTTCGGGTTGATTTAGGAAAAATACCTGCAGTCCTCCGACCAGGGGTGAAATGGTAATCAATGGTTTCATCACTACTCTCATCATACCACGCATCTACATCAAATTTCAAAATATTATAATAATGATTGTTTTGTATCTTGAAAAAAAATGAATGTTTTAGTATTACTTGGAAGTCTTTGATGCCACAAGGGATTCCGCTTACATAGAATGATATATCACAATCGCTGGCAAATCTATAACGTCAAAGAACAAGGTTTTCTTTATAAATGAAAAAAATGTAAGGTAAACTTAACTATAACTCACATGAGGTCGATGTCCAACATTATTTGATCGCGTGATACTTTATCATATACTTTTACACCTCCAATTTTTGGTGGCTGTTATGACAATTACAATATTGATAAGTATAATATTAATAAATATAAGGGCAGGATTGAGTGTTACTCACTATCGATCCTAATCGCAACTTGTCAAATGAAAAACTGTTGATTTTGTATTCACGCAAACTTTCAATGACCATGGGTTCCAATGTTACTTTGATGGTGTTTTGAGCGTATACAGTGACCAACGGCCACATTTGCTTGATTATCTGAATAGATGATTGTGGTAAAATTAGGTAAGGTGAATAATTGTTGATTATGGTACCGTAACGATCTACGGCAGTGGTTCTCAACCGGTGGTAAGCTGAGCTCTTTTTGAGGAAAAAATTTAAATTATTACCTAGGTATAAATAAATGAATGTTTAATTTGACTTATTGTACAATAAATGAGTATTGTAATAAATGTTTATTTTACATAGGTATACCTACTTAATCATTTTTTAGTGACCGGTCAAAGATTTTCCATAACCTAATCATAATTGTCTATTAATGGGACATTGTTACAAGTGGTAAAATATGCAAATTTTCTACATTTGTATTACCCACTTCTCTAATGGGAATTAAAACGGTTGAGAACCGCTGATTTAGGGTATATGAGCCGGGGAGGGGGGGCTGACCTGGTTGAGCCACTCCGCTCGGTGGATGTCCGGGAAGAACACCCAGGACGGTAGTTCGGACACGTTGGCAGTGACCAGGTTCTTCTCGTCGGCGATGGCCGCCAGCTGCCTACGGCGGCGCCTGAGCTGTCCGGTTTCGCGCCACCGGTCTCGGACCACCGACACACAGGCCATTAAGGGCAACAGCACCCACGTACTGACGGCCGCTATGCGCCAATAGCCGAGCGCGTACGTGATGGCCGTGGTGACCAGGCTCTGCGCCACTTTGGAGATGGCCTGGAAAACTGTGAGGCTGTTTTCGACCACCGGCGGGCCGTCCGCGTCGGCGTTCTCGTCGTTCGGAATCGTTGCGGGGACCCCCCCGGTTTTCTCGACGACCGCGTTCGCGTGGTCCCCGGAGGCGGCTCCCTGTGATTTCGGGTCGTCGGCCATTTCGCGGGGGCTTTGAAACGGACGGACAATCACAAAAAAAAAAAATAATAATACCGAAATTTGAAAAAAAAAAAAAACCTGACGGCGACGGGCGCAGACGAACGACGAACGGCAGCGCAAACACTGAAGCGGCGGCGCTGACTCACCGCACAGAAACGGCCCGCGCTATCGACTCGTCGTCGGCGGCTGACGAGTAGGAGGCGCCGGCGGCGGCGAGTATGCCGCGACGGGGTCCTTCTAGTGGATACCCCGTCCGTTTTATTATTATTATCATCATTATTATTGCTATTGTTGTTTTTGTTATTCCAACATAACGCGTTTACGACGAGATAACAATTGATTGATATTACGCTCGACATTGGTGACCGTTGATATCATCGTCGTTTATAAATTTACCGAATCAAGTTATGACGAATGATAGTTTTACGGATCGCTCTTGGCCGCCGCGACCGTAGACAAATAACAAAACTAATAATCCGTACGATTGTCACTGTTATTTATCGTGCCCTATCGATATTATCATGTTATTCCGCTCCGTCGGGCCCGAATCGCTTACGAACCCGAATGTCTGTGATTACAATAATTACTGTATACCGCGGTGATAACGCGCGCCCACGTTGTCCCGTTGCGGGATCGTACGGCTTTTGTCACGCGCATGGCGACTCGCGAAAATCTCTTTTAGTTCCCATTAAGGTCGGCACCTCTCCCCGGGGTTTCACCCGGACACTCCGGTTTTACATATTATACATTTTCGGGCTACGGGTTCGGTGTGTCATTCATCCGGGTCGTCGTCTGTCCCCGGGGCCCTTAGGATTACGGTCTTCGGGGGACATAGAGAATCGGACCGTTATGTCCGAACTTCGTTATGTCCGGATGACAACAGAAAAAAAAAACCTTAATTTTATTGAAGAATTGATGTGTCGAACACATTTTCGTGTTACAAATGTATGTATTGTGATACAAGCCATATTATATATATTTACGTAAATAGAAAAAAAAAAAAAGTTCTAAGTATGTGTTCCCCACGCTTGGCCAATATTTTTATTGGACAAACCACTTTCTAAACGTTCGATTATATTCATTATTTCAGCGATAGAAAAACAACGGCGTCTTTTATTCGACATTTCTAAGAACACGGAACGTGTCCAAACGAATAAAATTCAAAACGGTGACTGAAATAATGAGACACATGTTGTGCCGCATACTACGATATTATTATGTATAACGGCAGGGCCTATTTTTAGTAATATTTCGTATTACACACTTTTTAGTTCAGACCATAAATTCATGGTTACACAATAATATTTGTCCCCACACTCTTAAATACAGTTATTTCATTCATTTTTCTACCATTTATAGTTGTTCACAATATATATTTGAAAACAAATGTTTCCAGTTTTAAACCTTATCAAGGAGACATTTATGGGTAATGTAAAAAATAAACTTAAACAAAAATATTGCATAATATCAACTAGTTTGTATTTAATTTATACATTATTCTCTTAACAAATTTGTTTGAATAACGTTCCTCTGTATTTAGTTCCTCGTTCAAGGTAAGTTTTAAACTAATTACAACACGCATTAAGATAACAAGTTTCCAAACATCACAATAATAAATAACAGATTTTAAATTGCTTTGTATTTGATCAAATCTCTTTGATATACTTATTCTAAATTTGTCAAACAATTAAAAACCATTATTATGACAAAACATCGTTTAGACATTTTATAACATTACACATTTCATGATTCCGTTCTACACATTTAATAATTTCGTACTACGACACAACAGTTTTGGTATTACGCACAAAAATAGGCCCTGTACAACAGCTTAGGTAACGAATCATCGCACCGGACCAATTGTCTATCGTTACACGCGATTGAAAAAAACCGATTTCAAATTTCGAAATACTATCGTTCCATCCGAATAATAAATTATCGCTGTAACCGACCAAAATTACTGCACGTGGGATACGTAAAACCACGTATGTTACCATGAACATTGCTGGGAATCGTTTTATCCGGAATATCGTTACGTGCGGCATCGTAATAAGCGGATTCTACTGTTGTATGTTAACACGATCGGCCGCGGTGGCGGGAAGGAGGACGAGTGTGGGGACTCCGCGACGCGTGTCGACCGGGACGACGAGGGATACTCAAAGTTGCTTAGCGGCGAAACCGACCTTCGCTATTAAAATGATTTTAGACGCCCAAGACGATTATTTCACCTCTGTCGCGAATTCTCGCGCGTGTGTACGGCGTGTGCGATGAGGGAGGGGGGAGGTCGCTCGACGAGTGACGGATCTTCTCGATTTCGCCGGCTTGGGTACAGGTTCCGCCCATACCCCAGTGTCGAATCCAGATATATGTCAGATCGCCCCCGTGGAATTTTCTTCGCCCTCCGTGTTATTAAATGTAGGTAAATTAATTAAATAATTAATAAACAAATTTCACTGGTCTTAGTAAGAGGATAGACGAGCAAAATTAGAAGAAAAAAAAAAGTCGTTGCTGTAATTTTAGTAATGGCCCCCACCACCTTGAGAGCAATTGTCCGGGTTCGACATTGCTCGTACCCGATCGACGAATTTACGCGTGGGTCGTCCGTTCCGTACAGTCCGCATCGAGAGCGTCATTTCGACTTTTCGAAAAACCATATTTTCAGCGGGCCAATATAAAATATTTGTATTTTACTATAAAGTTATTATCAAAAAATTTCGTACACCTACCATACAACCGGAGCCGGGTTAAAGATATTAGAGTCGCCCTGGAGACTTAGGGCCGTCATACGTCCCGGAAAACCAGGACTGTCACCGGTTTTTGACTAGGTGTACTGGTATCCTGGAAATAAATGTCGGTAGGGGTACGCCAACAATACGTCTCGGTTTCGAGAAAAATTAATGTTATTTAATTTCGACGTTTTTCCGAATAATACGTAATCTGCAGTAATCGCGTTACGTTTTTTTAACGAATACGGGATAAAACAATGATGGTAAAACCTTATATATTGTCTAAATACTTACCTGTTAGTTATTACTTGTATGTTTTATAACAATTTTTTCGAAGATTAAAAAAAAAAAAAAATGTACAAATGTGTTCTTTTCATAGTAAATGTGAATTGAAAATGTGAAACCTATAAAAAATGTAAGTACAATTTTTGTTGTATTGTTTTAGTTTATAAAATAATAAATGGTTTTTTTTTTTTTTTAATACGTTTAGATTGTAGGTATCTACTCGTACCATGATTCAATCATATTTTTTTTTTTGCTATGTTTTTTCTATTCGTCCCGGATTTGCTTTATGCAGTTATGGCATACATCTTGTACTTATTATCAAGGAACCATTAAAAGTACACGTATTTCATGTAATACTATATAAATACGTGAAACAATTTAATACAAATTCGATAAGTCCCTCTTTTTTTGCTACGCAATTATATACCTACTAAAACAATTACTGAGAGTTTAAAACGTCATTATATTATTTTATAATTAAACAGTTTTTTTGAATATGTATTAATAATAAACGTTATAAAATGTATACACACATAATTATATTATATTATTATAGTTATAATTGAACACAATGTATAATGTAAACAAGAAGCTTAGAAGTCTATTTCTCACAAAAACGTTTTTTCCTTATTGATTTTATCATCATAGCAAATTTATGAACAAGTCCTTCCCACTTTATGTCTTTAAATATTTCAGACTCGATGCACAGTGTTGACAAATCTGACATTTTCTCAGTAACAACTCAGAAAAAAAAAATAAAACCTCTTTTAAAAAAAAAAAAAACTCTAATTTTTAGCATTGATCAATAATTACAATAACTTATAATTACTTATCTTTTTATTTTTTTCGATTTCTGTTTTACAGTATTATTCATAACCGGTTAATAATTATTGATTTTAGAACTCAATGAAAACAATTTATTATTTTTTACTGCGAACGCAGATCAGCCATCACTAATAATTGACTGATTGAGTACTGGACACAGATAAGATAAGGTTATATCAAGCGACATCGGCGGCGGGGCATATCGATTAGACAATATTAAAAGAATCGTTAATTTTAACACCATTTTACAAAATTCTATATACATAGCGATTATTACCGCTATAATTACGGCGATATAATATGCAATAGTCCATATTATACTCATATTGCACAAAACTTCATTGAGTCAATAAATAATTATTGGTTCCGATAAATTTGGTTATTTAATCAATAAAAATTATAAGATGTTGCACAACGCTTCAATGCTTTATTGATCCGATAAAATATCGGTCAAAAGTGACTGTTGGTTCAATAGTTTATAGGCTCGAATTTGGCCCATTAAGTTATATTGACTCGATAATATGAAATGTATCAATGTTAAAACTTGATAAAAATATGAAATTTTTTATTTTTATTTAATTATAATAGACGTGTTTGAGTGTTCTTCATCTAAAAATGAGTTCATGGTTAATGCGTTAGAAATTCTACCAAAACAGCGTACGTATAATACATCGAATAAGATATTTTTTAGTAGATTTGTTATCCATTTCAGTCATTCTGTCACAAATTATAATTTACCTAATAATAAATATATGAATAAATTAACAACTTACTAACACATTAATTTCATTTCATTAACTATTTGTTATCAAATACGTGTTTAGATTATTAAATCATTACGGTTAAATTTATATTTTATAATAATATTTTGTGCAACGCTTTTTAATATATTTTTTTACTGGTTAACCGACAGCACTGGGAGATCAGTTTTTCACATTGTTACCCCACTACTGCCAAGGTTTTTTAATATTTACCTATCATTAAACTATTTTATGAAACCAATAAAACTTATAGTGCCATTAAACTATCGAATCAATAAAATATTTATTGGACGTCTTTTGTGCAACCGGGTATTAGCTATGTTACAAAGTTATATTTATTAAATATAATTACTCGACTTAACATTGAGAAAATAATGTACTAAATAAGTATTTGAACATCAAAACTTATGTATTATTGATGCTCTTATTAATTTGCCACTCTGGGGCAAAGGTTCCTTTTACACCTATGTTAATTCGGCCCTGGCTACAACACACCGACCACAGCTTATGGTCATAATTACCGATGCTAATTAAAAAAATATATATAATTTTTTTTCGCGGCACG